CCTCCTCCTCCTCCTCCTCCTCCTCCTCCTCCTCCTCCTCCTCCTCCTCCTCTACCCGTACCTATGCTCTTTATTTCTTGATTTGTTTGTTTCTCTCTCTCCCTCTCTCTCTCTTTCTATTTTCTCTCTCTCTCTCTCTCTTTCTCTGTCTCTTTCTCTTTCTTTTTCTCTTTCTCTTTCTCTTTCTCTCTCGATCTCTATCTCTCTCTCTCTCTCTCTATATATATATATATATATGTATGCCTCTCTCTCTCTCTGCCCCGCGCCCAAGCCGCATGACCGAGGCGCAACAGTTCGAAGGAGGAGTAAGAACCACCTCGCCCTCGGAAGTACTGCTTCTACAACTATTATTCCTTCCTCCCCCTCCTCCTCCTCCTCCTCCATCCTCCTCCTCCTTTCCCTCGTCCTCTCCCTCATCTCCCCCTCCCCTCCTCGTCCTCCTGTTCCTCCTCCTCCTCCTCCTCCGAGATGCGGGGCGTGCGCAAGGCGATTGCGATGGCGATGCGCCGTCCGAGCTGTGGATGTCGAAGTTCATCGGAAGAGGTGGTGGCAATACTTTCTTGGGCGGGATATCTGGGTGAAGGAATATCGACCCCGCATGCCAGAAACATCCCCCATGATGGGGTGTGGTATCCAGAGAGATGCGTGTGGCATGTGGCAGCATGGCGCATGATTGTGGAATGAGTGTTGTTGTTGCTGTTGTTGTTGTTGTTGTTGGTGTTGGTGCTGCTGTTGCGGTTGCGGTTGCGGTTGTTGTTGTTGTTGCTGCTGCTGCTGCTGCTGTTGTTGTTGTTGTTGTTGTTGTTGTTGTTGTTGTTGTTGTTGTTGTTGTTGTTGTTGTTGTTGTTGTTGTTGTTGTTGTTGTTGTTGTTTGGGGGCGTTTCGGCGGTCCCCCGAGACGCCTGAGCGTGAGCCCAACTTTCATAGAACATGCAACTGGCGCCGAAACGAGAGCGCCAGGCGGATGCAGGGTGCCCCACAATAACAAGTGCTGACTTACCAAAATCCGAAAACAACGCTCCAGTACAGTAGGAGCCGACCACACGAAACCTTCCACAAAAAAACCAACCCTGAACGTCCATTGATTTTTGGTATGGGAACCGTCCCGATTTCCATCGCAAAACTATCGAAACCCAAAAAGCCCAGGGCACCCTGGAGGCGAGCAGGGTGTTTCTTGGCATGGTCTCCACTGTACGCGCCTGGAAACGGTTTCGCTAGGAGCGGAGCGGTGGCGCCGAGGCGCCGAGCATTCCAGATCGAATGAGGGACATAGTTGGCAATTCGGCATGAGCGTGATACAAAATGGATGTGATGGTCCTGTTTTACACCACCATAAGTTGGAGGGGAAAGGAGGTCGAGGATGAGGGGGAGGAGAAAAAAAAGGAGGAGGAGGACCCCCTCCTCCTCCTCCTCCTCCTCCTCCTCCTCCTCCTCCTCCTCCTCCTCCTACGATTTATGGACCGCCATAAGTTATGGTGGTGGCGGTGGAAAACAACCCCACCTGATGGGGGAGAAACGCCGCAATGGAAAGCAAACGGGAAACGGTCACGAGAAGCAAGAGAGGCGTGGATTCGCGGAGGGTCCCGCGGCCCGGTCCCGTCCGAGACGGGGCCCGCAGGCGGGGGGGCTGCCCCCGACGTCGGCGCGGAGCCGCGCGGAAAGAGGGGGAGAAAGGGGGGGTTTGGCAGCGCGCAGAGGGGGGCAGGGGGAGGGGGGAAGGCTTCAGAAGGAGGCTGCTTCTTAGAAGGGGCCGCCCTTCCATCTACAGACAGGGCCCGCGCATTCTAAGAAGCAGGGGTGCTTTAAGACGGCTTCCCCCCTCCCCATTCCCCTTCCGCGCGTGGCCGAGGAAGGGAGGGGGGGCAGCGGACGCACTCGCGCCGCGCAGGCGCAGCAGGAGCTCTCGGAGCTCTCGGACCAGGTGCAGCCTGTGGAAAAAACACACGCTGTGGAAAAAGCTCGAGCCGGGCTCAACCCGCTGGCACGAAACTGGCATTTTCTGAACGAGTGCCCGTGCGCTGATAGAACATCGAGTGCTCTGACATGCTGCGCTGCCTTGAGATTGTCAATTAACCTTGGTGTTTTTTTTCCACAGGCCCGTGGCGAAACTGCGGGAAGCCGAAAAGGCGAGAACGCCAAAATCAGTCAACAACTTTTAGGACATCCATGATCTTTGGCCTCTTGGGACCCTTGGGAGGGCCCTCGTGGGGCATCCTTCAGGCTTCCAGGCGGGATGAAGACACGCATAGCGAGCGCCTGAAGTGGGCGGGCAGCGGGCAGCACGCCGAGCACGGAGCCCGTACTCACGAAATGTGCCCGCAGGAGCAGCAGGAGGAAGCAGCACACTGTGGAAACACACACACACACACACACAGGGGGGGGGGAAAACACACACACACACAGTGTGTGTTTTTGTCAACAGACTGTGTGTTTTTTTCCACCGTGTTTTTTCCCACAGGGGGAGAGGGAGATGGAGGGGAGGAGAGAGAGGGCTGAGGGCGGAAATCCGAAGAAACTCCGCCTGCCTGTCTGTCCCCGTCCTCCCTGCACGGCCTCCTCCGGGCGTCTCTGCGTCTGTCTGTTCCGCCCATGTCCCTGTCCGTTTCGAAATGTCTGCCTGCCTTCGTGTGTACGTGTGCCTCTTCGTATCTGCCTCTGTCTCACGCTGTCTCTCTCTCTCTCTCGTTCTCCCTCTCCTTCTCTCTCTCTCTCTGCATCTCTCTGTCAAATGATTATGTGTTTGTCTGGTTATAGGCTTTTGTCGCTGTATACGTATTGCCATATCTCTGTGTCTCTGTCTCTCTGACTGTACTCTCTCTCTCTCTCTTTCTGCCCCTCCTTCTCCCCCGCATACAGAACCAAAGAATCTGAGTGTTCCTTCAGCCTCATCCTCTTCACTGACGTTGATGCGCGGTCGGTCCTCCGTCGCCCCCACCACCACGCCAGTTCCAGTCCCTGTCGGCTGCGGTGTTGCTGTCCCTGGCCGCGGTGCAGCGGGGTGGCAGAAGGAGCTGGCATGTGATAGCACCCGCGAGGAGGAATCACTAGCCCTCTGGGCGAAGGTGGCCAAAGCTCGGTCAGTCACTTTCCCCAGTCCCTGCGGAATGGGGTCATTACTCCCCACTGCCCCCTCCCCAAAATCCCCATTTTCGGCGGGCAGGTCGGTCCAGATGGTGTCTGTGCGTCCGTGCTTCTCCCTCCCTCCTTCATCCTCCCTCCTCGTCCTCGTACTCGTCGTCATCGTCCTCCTCCTCCTCTTGACCTTCGTCGCCTTGGCGATCCTTACCTTCCTCGTCCTCACTGTCGTCGTTGATGTTCTCCTCCTCCTCCTCCTTTCTTTTTCCATGCATGAATAACTCCTCCCTGTCGCAACCCGAGGCCAGTTGGACGGACGGGTGGGGCGTTTCGCCTGAGACTCCCTGAGCATTTATGATCCTAAAGCTGAAAAATGGCAGCAGTTTCATCGATGGAGGGCGGGTCGCTTCTAAAATGTGGCTCTCGCCGTGGCGCCGCGCACATCCGTCCTAAAATTGTGCAATAGTTTCACGTATTGAGTGCAAGTCGTTTTCAACATGTCGCTCTCGCATTAGCGCCGCGCACATTCGTGTTAAGACTGGCAAGTTGCTTGACGAATTCCCATGGTTCACGTACCAGCGATAGTGTTCTGGAACGACTCAGGACTGTAAAGGCGCAACAGTTTCGGTGATTCTGGGTGGAGTCCCAAGAGTGATGTTCTGGCACGGTTCAGGGCCGTCAATGCGCAACAGACAGGTTGACTTGTGGCGTTGACGTTCCGAGAATGGTGTTTTGGAACGCTTCAGGGTCTTCAAACGGCTGTCTCCCAACGGGGACCTTCCCTCAGTGGCCATGCATCCTTGTAGTGGCCTAAGAGGGGGAGCTTGGATGGGAGGATGGATTCCAACATCGCTGGTGAGTATTAGGCTTCCACTGGTCCTCTTCCTCCTCCTCCTCCTCCTCCTTCTCATCTCACTGCCCCTCCTCCTCCTCCTCCTCCTCCTCCTCCTCCACCTGTTCCTCCTCCACCTCGGCTTCTCCTTCCCGACCTCCTCCTCCTCCTCCTCCGCCTTCTCCTCCTCCTCCTCGTGCTTCTCAGCTTCAGCCTCGCAATCCACTCGCTGCCTTTCCCATGTATGCTCCCTTCCCTTCCTCGTACCTCACTTTCTTGTCCTTATCATCTGTTCTTAACCCTGATCTTCTCTCGTCTTCCCTTCCTCTTCCTCATTCCCTTTCCTCTTCTGCATCTCCCCTTTCTCTTAACATTCCTCGCGTTCCATCCCATCCCATCCTCCTCCTCCTCCTCCTCATTCCCTCCCTTTCATCAGCCCTCATCGCTCGCCCTCATTTCCTGTTGTTTCTTCAGCATGTTCACTTCTCCTCCCTTAGGTCACCTAACTTCGCGCGTCGCGACCCGCGAGGCCCCACTCGCAGTTTCTCCGGGCTCTCGCGCCGCAAATCTGGAAAAGGGCAAGCATCCAGCCCAGGCCGCGACGTGCGAAGCGTGACTACCGTCGCGCCCCTGGGACGGCCTAGCCTCGATTCTTCCTCCTCATCCTCCTCCTCATCCTCCTCCTCATCATCACCGTCATCATCAGCATCGTCGTCGTCGTCATCATTAGCATCAGCATCAGCATCATCATCAGCATCATCATGCTCATCATCATCGCATCAGCATCAGCATCATCATCACCATCATCATCACCAGCATCATCACCAGCATGATCATCAGCAGTGCCATTATCATCAGCATCATCAGAATCAGCATCACCACCACCACCATCATCATAATCATCATCATCACCATCATCATCATCATCATCATCAGCATCATCATCATCAGTATCATCAGCATCAGCATCAGCATCAGCATCAGCATCAGCATCATCATCATCATCATCATCATGCCCACGCCCTTCCCTAATGCAGCAGAGCTCGACCTCCCTTCTCCCTCTTTCTCTCTGCCAGCTGCGGACAATGTGTCAAACACGCATCACGCCTGCCCACTACACGGTCTCTGCCTCATCCTCGCGCCCGTCGTGACTAACTACCGACCAGAAAATCCACTCGAACGCCAGTGCTTCGGCCATTGAGCAACGAGCAGTAGCGCCAACACGTGTTATCTTCCACTCTCTTCCCCTTCCCCGCCTTCCGTCGTCCGTTGGCGGCGCGCACAAGGGGGTGGAGGGAGGGGGGAGTTGTTAGAAGGAGGCTGCTTCTTAGAAGGCGCCTGCCTTACATCTATAGATAAGGCCCGCGCCTTCTAAGAAGCAAAGGTGCTTCTAAGAAGCCGTCCCACCTCCCCCCACCCCCCTCTGCGCGTGGCTGAGCCCCTCCTCCCGAAAGAAGACAAGGGGGTGAGAGGGGCGGGCACGGCGCCTGTCGCGACCCTTTCCGCCGCCGCCCCCACCTTTTCCCTTCCCTCGCTCTCCATCTCCACCGCCGCCTTTGGATCTGGCGCGCGGGAAGGGCATCAGCAAAGGTCGGATGAATCGGAAACACTCGGGACGATCTCAAGCTACCAATCCAGCCCCTGACTGCAATGGAGCACCAGGGAAAAGAATCCTTGCGACGGCCCTCAAAACCGCAAGCATCCAGCGAAAGACTGGGGTGAATATCGCCGGGGGGAGCAGGTGGAGCGGTAGCAGCAACAGAGGGCGGACGAGACAGGTGCAGGGGAAGGAGCGAGTGGAGGATGAAGGGAGTGAGGGGGGAGAGAGGAGAGGACAGGGAAATTAAGGAGGGAGGAGAGAGGGGAGGAGGAGAAGGCGGTGGATGACGGAGAAAGGAGTAGGGGCAGGGGCAAGAGGAGAGAGGGATGGAGAGTTTGAGGCAGGAGGGATACAGGGAGGGAGGAGAAGGGAGATAGGCAACCTAGGCGCGCTCGCCCCATCGTTTGACAGCTACTCCTTCCGCCCATCAGCGACTTCCAGCACAGCCACAAAGATCCCGAGGGCCTCACCAGAACCCGAATAGAGACTTTGCAACATGCCCCGCGCATGCGACTGCGAATGCGCACCTCCAAGTGGCCCCCGAATCACACCCAAGTGAACGGAGCCAGAACAACCCACGTGCAAGACCACCACAGTGCCACGCGACAGAGTTGCAGCTCCATGCCCCCCTTCCACGAACCATTGTCGGGCAGCGGCCGGTGATGCGCCGTGGGCGCCCTCCCTCCTTGACATAGAACAAAATATTTCTTGCGCGGGCTTATTGGCGGATTGGGACTGAAAACGCTACCGGGAACACGACTTCCCTCCCGCGGCGGCCACTGCTGAGGCCTCCGCCGTCTTCAGGAATACGATGATCCCTCAGAGTCGATAAGAATCTTCGGGATCCCTAGGGTTCCCAGGGATTCCTAGGAATCCGAAGGGAACCTGAAGAATCCTGAGGAATCCCGCGAACCCCTAGGAAGGGAGCACGAGGAGGGCGAGGAGGGAGAGCGAGGAGGGCGAGGAGTGGAGGGGCGAACAGAGGAGGGACGGCTGTTCCCAGCCGAGAGGTGAGGGGAGGGGCCATCATTAAAGACCCTTGGCGGTTAAAGGGAAGGAGAAGGAGAAGGAGAAAGGGGGGAGGCAACAAGTGGGAGGCAAAGCAAACATGAGCATGCGAGAGCAGGAAGTATACAGGAGGACGAACTGGACGCAGGAGGGGGGGAATGGGGAAAGAGGGTGATGGGGCGGAGCAGAAGAGATCAGAAGAGCAAAAGAGAAATCCCACCGGCCCTTGACAGCATAGGTGGTTTGGGGAGCTTCCTCGTCCAACCCCCTTCTTTCCCTACGTGGGAGGGTTTCTCACTATTCGGTATTAAGGAGAATCCCTGCCCCAACCGACGGGCGACGAACCTGCGATTCTGCCAACCACACCCGCCATCCCTTGCAAAAAACAATGCGAAGTGCACTTTGTACCAATATCTGGATCATGCGCAGACGCCCGATCACAGTTGCCACCACCACCACCACAAGTTGGAGGGGGAGGGGGTCCTCCTCCTCCTCCTCCTCCTCCTTCCCCCCTCCAACTCAGGGTGGTGGTGGTGGAAAACAAGCCCATCAACATTCCGTGGGCTGTGTTACAAGTATGGCGGGGATGCCAGCACATTGCCTGCTGTGTGCGGTGCCAACATCTTTACCAAGGACGGCGGGGGTGCTGGCGTGTGGCCTGCCGTGTGCAGTGCCCGCCCCCCGCCACCCCTTGCAGCATACATAGGGGAACGAATAATGGCATAAACATAAAAACTCGGAGGTCCGCGTGGATTAGGAAAAACGCGTTCCACTATTCGCAAGATAACTATTCGCAAATGGCCGGGATCCGCCGCGGGGGATTTTCGATACATTCCATAGAGCGAACCATATTTTTCTGACTTTTGCAAGTGGGCACTTTGCGAGTAATGCAACTCGCTCGGTGAAGATTTCTCGGAACCGCGCTGAACCCCCTGGCGGCGCCTCCGGTGCCGCCCCTGGCGCGCTCCGCGCGCCAAGGAGGGGGGTCCAGCGCCAATCCGAGAAATCCGCGCGGACCTCCGAATTTTCATGTTTATGTCATTCTTCGTCTCCCTGCACAAGATTCTGACAAATTCTGGATCATGCGCGGGCGACCCGCAATCACTTTGCATTGGCTTTTTGCTAGTACGGCGGGGGGGCCGGCGTATTGCCTGCCGTGTGCAATGCCAACAACCCCCACGACACCGTGCAAAAATCAAAAGCCGCAGTGCCGAAGGCACACTCGTTTGGCCGACGGCGGCTGCCCCGCTGCCGCTGCCGCGGAGCCTGTCGCACCGAGCAATGCGCCCCGAACCCCGTGTCTTCCGCCGTGGCCGTCCAGGAACAGACAGCGCGCGGATCTGTTCTGACGCAGTTGAGCCTCTAGCCTGCATAGCGGGAATACCGCAGAGACTTCTTGTGGGTGATGAGGAGGTTGGCGGGGAGACATCATCTTTGCTTTGCACTGGACGCACAATTCATCTCACGAGTGGGCATACATCGGGACATCAATATTGATTTGCATCCTAGCCGTCTTCCTCTCACTATCCTAGGGCTCCCAACTTCGCGCTTCGCGCTCTGCGAAGTGCGAAGCGCGAGTAACTTCGCGCTCTCGCGCCGCCCCCCCAAAGGGAGAAAAGGAGAACGAGGAGGACGGGGAGAAGGAATGAGGACCGCGAAGCGCGAATGACTTCGCGCCCTCGTGGGAACCCTTGCTATCTCTCTATCGATTTTACTATCTGCTTAACGGAACAACCATCAGGACAACCGTCCCAACGCCGTGGGAACGGTTCCGCTGTGTTCGCGGGCGTCGGAGTGTTGGACACTGCCGTGCTGTTGCGCATCCTACTGCTGGGACCTGTCGTGCCACTAAGTGTTGTACTCCTGCCAGACAACATCGGGACAAGCATCGGTTCCTCATAGCGATGTATGGGCGTGCGATGCCATGGACAACGCGCGTTGCCAATCGATGCAAGTGCATTGCGCTCCCCAGTGAGGCCACACTTCGCACCGAATGCTTGGCACTTCGCTTGAGGGTGGATCCCGCCTGCCCTCCGCTCCGGTGCTGCTTGTGTGTTGGGATAGCGGGTGGGAGTGAGCGAGGCGACAGTCCGTCGGGAGGGTTAGCTAGACCACTGCACCTCATTAATGAAGCCTCCTCCCCCACCCGACTGACGACAAACCCGGGACACTGCCACCGCCCCATCCGCCAACCCTTGAAAAAACAATGCAAAGTGCACTTTGTGCCAACATCTGGGTCGTGCGCGGACGCCCGATCACTCTCATCGATTGTTTACAAAGACGGCGGGGGTACCAACATATTGCCTGCTGTGTGCAATGCCTCCCCTTGCAACAAACAATACAAAGTGCATTTTGCACGCAATTCTGGATGATGCGCGGGCGCCCCGCGATCACTTCGCGTTTGCTTTCTACAGGGACAGCGGCACAGTGCCTCCTGCTGGCACGTTGCCTGCTGCGTGCAGCTCAATACGATTTCCAACATACTCGAAGAGGTCCCACGACCTCACCAAGACGGGTCCGAGTGGCCTTGGGGGTCCCCAGGCTGCCCCCAAGAAGCCCAAATCCGCCCCAAACCTAAGGAAAATCCATGCTTGCCTGCCTTATCATAGTTTCGCTTCTGATGGCCGTCCGAGGCCTGAAGGTGGCTCCAAGATAGCCCTAAGAGGGCCCCAAAAGGAACGAAAGAGGACGCGAAGAGGCGACGTTTGGGGTTCCCAGGAGGAGGGGGACCCCAATTAATTTGGGCCCCCCCCTTCGTTTACCGATTTCCTCCAAGTTGGTCCCAAGAAGGCCATCCCCAAGGCCCCCAAGAGGGCCCCACGAAGGCCTCCAAACGCCCCAAGAGGCCCCCAAGACGCCCTAAGAGGTCACACTAGCCCCCCAGAGGCCCGCAACACGCTGTAAGAGGCCACCAAGAGCCACCCAGGAGAAATCTCAAGCGAATCCAAGAGGCATCCGAGAGGCCTCTAGTTCAATGAAACTCCCCGAGGTATCCACATGATGCCATGCTGCCCCGATAGGGGCAGCTCCCCTAGGCATCGTTCCCGGATGGGCTGGTGGGGAAGCGCGAAGCGCTACGGACAAGTAGAGAACGACGGCCGAGGGAGAGGGAAAAGGGAAGGAAGCGACCCGAGATCGTCCTCGCGGCCTCGCGCCGCCCACGCCCCGGCCCACACCCCGGAGAAGAATACCGCTCCCAGACCAGGCCGCGAAGCGCCCTTCTCATCGCGCCCATGCGGGGTGGCCCTCGCATCCTCCTCACCCCGCATCTCCCCCCCCTCCGGCTTGTGGAAGGAAGGGGCGAGGGAAACGGGTCATCGGCATCGTCATCACCGTCATCACCGTCATCATACTCGACACCATGATCATCCTGGTCGTCGTCATCACCGCCACCGATATCGTCGCTCCATGATCGTCCCTCCTCCCTTTTCGATCCTCGCTGCTCGCTCCCCGCTCCTCAGATTTCCAGTAGCTGTCTCGTTACTCATTTGATAATGGATCCAGCGGGCTGGTTGGGGAACATGGATATTAAAGTCAAAGGTACGTAAGCTGGGACCACCATTCGCCCGCCTCGTCGGGGCGATGCACGGGCCAGGGCGTCAGGACATGCTGACACCTTGGCAACACGAGTCTGCCAGATATCAACTGGTTTCGCTGCTGTGTATGCACTTTCATACACGGAACCCCTATCTTTATGAGCTGGCCAAAGGTATATGCCCCGCACCTCCTGCAAAACACCCTGCACACATAGACAATATATGTGGCGAATCCAGCCTAGACTCTGTGAACTATCTCATGGTAGGGGACATGGCCGCACAAACACCAGGGGCTCTCTGGTTGTGAAAGGCACATGACGCACTCGACGCAGCTCCAGCGGCAACCGTTCCAAAGTACTCGGTGAGCAAGTATGCTGGAGACAGGCCTCGGCTAGAGGGCAGACGCAACACGACCAAGCTTACCAAACAGTTCTGAGGCCCTGGGGAGATCTACCATCGCCTTAACCTCGCTCCTCCCTCCCTCTCCCCCTCCCCCTCCCCTCCCCCTCCCCCTCCTCCTCACCCTCCCCTTCCCCCTCCTCCTCATCCTCCTCCCTCCTCCTCCTCCTCCTCTCCCCCCCCTCCCTCCTCCTCCTTCTTCCTCCTCCTCCTCCTCCTCCACCTCCTCCTCCTGATCTCCTCTCCTCATCGCATCATCATCATCATCATCATCATCATCATCATCATCATCATCATCATCATCATCATCATCAGCAGCAGCAGCAGCAGCAGCAGCAGTAGCATCAGCATCAGCATCATCATCGTCAGCAGCATCATCATTATCATCACCAGCATCAGCATCAGCATCATCGCCATCATCAGCATCGTCATCAAAACCATCATCATCAGCATCATGATCATCATGATCATGATCAGCATCATCATGATCATGATCAGCATCATCATCGACATCGTCATCATCCTCGTCGTCATCACCATGATCATCATCATCAGCATCATCATCATCATCATCATCATCATCATCATCAGCATCATCATCATCGTCATCGTCATCATCATCATCATCATCATCATCAGCATCATCATCTTCATCACCATCACATCATCATCACCATCATCAGCATCATCATCATCAGCACCATCACCACCACCATCACCACCACCATCGCCATCATCATCATCAGCATCATCATCATCATCATCAGCACCTTCTTCATCATCATCATCATCATCATCATCATCATCATCATCATCATCATCATCATCATCATCACCTTCATCATCAGTATCATCATAATCAGCATCAGCATCAGCATCAGCATCAGCAGCAGCAGCAGCATCATCATCATCATCATCATCATCATCATCATCATCATCATCGTCATCGTCATCGTCATCGTCGTCGTCGTCGTTATCATCATCGTCATCGTCATCATCGGCATCATCATCATCATCATCATCATCATCATCATCATCATCATCATCATCATCATCATCATCATCACCACCACCACCTTCATCCCGCTTCTTCTCGCGCGGGCGCGGGGTGGGAGGCACCGAGGCTTTCCCATGCGCTGGTGCTCGGATCCCGGCGGCTGAAAATCTGGGAAAAATGATAGGAGGCTTGGGCCAACTGAGACTGCGGGCGATTGCGGGTAGGGCGGCATATAATCAGGATGGGGAGAGGGGGAGAGGGAGGGGGTGGGGAGGAGGAGGAGAGGAGGAGGAGGAGGAGGAGGAGGAGGAGGAGGAGGAGGAGGAGGAGGAGGAGGAGGAGGAGGAGGAGGAGGAGGAGGCGGAGGGGGGAGGGGGATGTACTGTAGTAGAGGACCTTCAATTCCCCAGGCCCGCCTGCCTTCGCGTGACGCCTTCACCAGCGCCCACCTGGCAGCTGATCCTCTTTCTGCTACGTCTCTTTCCTCCAGCAACGTCATCTGCGCTTAGTTCGCTTGTCGGCGCCGTCCTGCTGCTGCTGCTGCTGTTCCTCCTCCTCCTCATCCTCCCTCCTCCTCCTCCTCCTCCTCCTCCTCCTCCTCCTCCTCCTCCTCCGCCTCCTCCCTCCGCATTCCGCCTTCCGCCTTCCGCCCTGCTCCTCGTGCTCTTCTTTCTCCTCCTCCTGCTGCCTCCTCCTTCATCATATTAGTATTGAGTTTGGTCTTAGTACTTTTGTTATCCATATTATTACTAGTAGTTTTAGTACTAGTTTCCGTGCTCTTGGTATTATTAGAATTAGTATTCGTCTTATTGCTAACACTAATGTTATAATCATCATGTTTGTCTTTAGTATGGTTATCATCCTTCTTGCAATCTTTTTGTTATTGTTATTATTATTCAACCTCCTCCTCCTTCTCCTGTCATTTCTCCTCCTCCTCCTCCTCCTCTTCCTCTTCCCCCTCGCGCGCGCTGCGAGGCTGCGAAGCAAGGACAGAAGGTGGTCGCAAGATCAAAACCTCGTCGGTGAGGATCCCAAATAACCTACGCCGCTGAGCCGTGTGGCGTGTGCTAGGGCTTCGGAGATGATGCTGGGAAGAAGAGGAAGGAAAGGAAGAAGGGCAGGGAGGAGGGCCATTCCCGACCAGCCACAACTGGAGGAGCTGTGTTCCTCACCCCCCCCCCTGAGGGTCCCAAGATAAGGAGCCCAAAAAGGACGTACGCGCCCAGCTATGTACATGAACACGGCCCCTCGATCCGCGAGACCGGCCGCGTTATACGAACATTTGCGCAATGCGTACTCTCGGAACCAGCGTGGATTCATGTACATGTACGTCCTTCTTTCGCTCCTGACAAGAGGGGTATCGAAATCGATGGCTCCCCCAAATGGGCGACGAACAGAAACGGGTCTTACGCGAGATGCCATTGCGACCGTACGCGGTGCCTTACGCGGGCCGCCAGCGCGGCAAACCACAGTTGAGACGAGGGCGCTTACGCGAGATCTTACGCGGGCAGCTTACGCGCCAATGCCAGCACAATCGAACTTTTGTTACCTAACAGCGAAGAATGATAGGTTTCTAGTAGGGCCAAAAGATAGCATCATGACTCCCCAAAGGGGTCTGGGCGGGATCCGGACAGGGTGCCCCAGGAGTGCCCCCGGAAACCGGGGACTCCTTTTTTAGCAAACAGTAACACACTTCGTGGTCTTCGAATTCCCAGAACTCCATTCCTGGGCATGATTTTGAATGCCCGGAGCCAACTGTAGGCCACTTCGTGGTCTTCGAACTCCCAGAACTCCATTCCTGGGCATGATTTTGAATGCCTGGAGCCAACTGTAGGCCACTTCGTGCTCTTCGAGTTCCCAGAACTCCATTCCTGGGCATGATTTTCAATGCCCGGAGCCAACTGTAGGCCACTTCGTGTTCTTCGAGTTCCCAGAACTCCATTCCCGGGCCACATTTTGAATGCTGAGGCAGGCTGAGGCTGAGGCTGAGCCAGGCTGAGGCTGAGGCAGGCTGAGGCTGAGGCCGAGGCTGAAGGCAGACTGAGGCTGAGGCTGAAGCAGGCTGAGGCTGAGGCTGAGGCAGGCTGAGGCTGAGGCTGAGGCAGGCTGATGCTGAGGCAGGCTGAGGCTGAGGCTGAGGCTGATGCAGGCTGAGGCTGAGGCAGGCTGAGGCTGAGGCCGAGGCTGAAGGCAGACTGAGGCTGAGGCTGAAGCAGGCTGAGGCTGAGGCTGAGGCAGGCTGAGGCTGAGGCTGAGGCAGGCTGATGCTGAGGCAGGCTGAGGCTGAGGCTGAGGCTGAGGCAGGCTGAGGCTGAGGCAGGCTGAGGCTGAGGCCTGAGGCTGAGGCTGAGGCAGGCTGAGGCTGAGGCTGAGGCTGAGGCTGAGGCTGAGGCTGAGGCTGAGGCTGAGGCTGAGGCTGGCAGGCTGAGGCTGAGGCTGAGGCTGCTGAGGCAGGCTGAGGCTGAGGCTGAGGCTGAGGCTGAGGCTGAGGCTGAGGCTGAGGCTGAGGCAGGCTGAGGCTGAGGCTGAGGCAGGCTGAGGCTGAGGCAGGCTGAGGCTGAGGCTGAGGCTGAGGCAGGCTGAGGCTGAGGCAGGCTGAGGCTGAGGCCGAGGCTGAAGGCAGACTGAGGCTGAGGCTGAAGCAGGCTGAGGCTGAGGCTGAGGCAGGCTGAGGCTGAGGCTGAGGCAGGCTGATGCTGAGGCAGGCTGAGGCTGAGGCTGAGGCTGATGCAGGCTGAGGCTGAGGCAGGCTGAGGCTGAGGCCGAGGCTGAAGGCAGACTGAGGCTGAGGCTGAAGCAGGCTGAGGCTGAGGCTGAGGCAGGCTGAGGCTGAGGCTGAGGCTGAGGCCGAGGCTGAAGGCAGACTGAGGCTGAGGCTGAAGCAGGCTGAGGCTGAGGCAGGCTGAGGCTGAGGCTGAGGCAGGCTGATGCTGAGGCAGGCTGAGGCTGAGGCTGAGGCTGATGAGGCAGGCTGAGGCTGAGGCAGGCTGAGGCTGAGGCCGAGGCTGAAGGCAGACTGAGGCTGAGGCTGAAGCAGGCTGAGGCTGAGGCTGAGGCAGGCTGAGGCTGAGGCTGAGGCAGGCTGATGCTGAGGCAGGCTGAGGCTGAGGCTGAGGCTGATGCAGGCTGAGGCTGATGCAGGCTGAGGCTGAGGCAGGCTGAGGCTAAGGCCGAGGCTGAAGGAAGACTGAGGCTGAGGCCGAGGCTGAAGGCAGACTGAGGCTGAGGCTGAAGCAGGCTGAGGCTGAGGCTGAGGCAGGCTGAGGCTGAGGCTGAGGCAGGCTGATGCTGAGGCAAGCTGAAGCTGAGGCTGTGACTGCCGTTGCCACTGCGACTGTCATCGCGAATGCGACTGAGACTGCGAGAACAGCAGAATTCTACAACTGGATTCTCGTCTGAATCTTAAGGGGAATGCTTCCAGATATGCTCCTACACATCGCTGTTAGGTTGCTTTGCCGGGATAAGTTGTTGCCTGGTCTGCATTCTGACCCCTTGCGCGCCCCCACGCCCAGGGCGCTTGGGGTAGCCCCTGGCGCTTCGGGCACGGTGGCGCGGATGGGGGCGTATGGTACCGAACTGGGCGAGCAACGACATATGTACATGTACGCCCTCCGCGGTCTTGCCTGCACGAACGTCCGCGTCGACACGCACTCCAGGGGAAACTAACCGCGTACGTGTACATATGTTGCTGGCCTCTGACGAACGGAGCAATCGGACCCGACACTGGCGCCTAGTGCCATCAAGGATGTACCCTTGTACGGCGCCCTGCAGGATAGCAGGAGAGCGGAAAGAGGGGTTGCCGGGGGCGCCTGGCGAGACCTGGCCATCCTTACCGACAGGTTGCAGCTGGTGTCGGCTCGAGAGATGCAGCCGTACAGGGACCCAAATACACACGAATAAATAGACACAAATCAAAGGATTCCCCCTATATTTTCTTACATGTTCTAAGATTTCGTCTTCACCACCACTGTTTACATTTTCCATAGTGTCCGGGGAATCGACGATCAGTTGTGTCTGTGTGTTCTTTTCCTCGCGAAGCCCAACTTGCAGAACGCGCGCGCGCACGGCTGCTGAAGGGCACCCTGGCATCGGCGGCGGGGTCCCGCGGATGGGAAGGCCGGCAAGCAGCGGCTCCTCCCTTGGCCGCGCCCCCGGCGGAGAGGCATGGGGGAGGCGGAGGGGGAGGTCGAGGCTCCCCAAGCTGACTGCCTACCCGACCACACCAAAAAAAAACGAACACCCAAATTCCGGGTTTGGGAGCGTACTGATTCCGCATGTGTTTTTCAATGTTCCCCGACGCCTCCCCCCCCACACTGGGAATGGAGGGCAAATTGGGGCCTTCGGGTTGGGTTGGGGTGGTTTGATGGGTGGTGATAAACCTTCTCGCGCCGTTGCAAAATCACAGCAGAATGTGTTGGCCGATTTTAAACTACAGGGGCCGTCAAACACGACACAGGACGAACGGCCAGTCTCCATCAGCTTAGTCGTTGCGCAACAATGGTGTTCAAGGTCGGTGCGTTTGAAAATACAGATCCCTGACCAAGCGGGGACGGCGCCTGCACCCATCGGGGCGCAGGTGACGGTGCTCGGCCTTCACGGGGACAGCCGATCCTCCCTGACCTCCTCCCCAGGCCGTCCCAAATTTCGCAGCCATGCTGAGCCGACCCCTACTCCGGATGGCATAATAATCGCCCCCCCGTGGGTTCGAGGAATGGGGGTTGGACGCGTGCCGTCGGGGGGGGATTGGGGGGGATGGCAATTTTGAAAGTCAAATTCCTGGGCCAAGTGGGATAGGGTGCGTGTGGGGGGGATTTTGGACGCGCATTGAAGGGCTGTGGGGGGGATGGGGGCCCTGGTCGCCACCCCCGCCCGATGATTATGCCATCCGGAATGCCCACCTTTCGCGGCGATAACATGCGTTATGGGGGGGAGGGGGGGGGGGCGGGACGTGGGCATGACTTAACGCCACCCCCCCCCACAGTGATGGCACCACTGACTGAGGTACTGGACGCACCGCGGCAGTGCTGGGGGCGCACTGGGGGAGGAGGAGCGTTATGCCATGGGGGGGAAAGAGGGGGGGGGCATCACGCACGTTATGGCCGAGAGGGGTACAAAAACACCCGCCATGCGGAGCCAACCCCTGCCCCCCTTCTGCACGTGGCCGATCACCTCGGCGCCATCTCGCCGCCGCCCTGGAAAAAGGGCAGTTCTCCAGCCCACGCCGCGACGCCCCATGCA